ATAGGTGGGAGAGTTCCTACAGCAGGGTAGGTAGGGGCAGCCTTTGGCATCTCTGACAGCCCTGTCCCCACAGTCCAAGGGTTCAGGGACCTGCTGTGGATGCCCATTGAGCAGTACAGGAAGGATGGGCGCCTCATGCGGGGGCTGCAGAGGGGAGCTGCCTCCTTCGGCTCGTCCACAGCTTCTGCCGCCTTGGAGCTCAGCAACCGGCTGGTGCAGGCTATCCAGGTGAGCGAGCCCCATGTCCAGGCCATGCCGGACAGGGATGGTCTGCTCCATGGTGCCCAGTTCCATCCCCAAAGCTCTACTGAGGGCAGGTAATCTGGATATGTGGTATTTTATGAGGAACAATCACAAAGAGAAGAGGCCAAGTGACTGGCCTGGGGCCCTAGTGGCTCCCATATGGGAGGGTGAGCGCCCCTCAGGCTTTAGAGCCCACTCAGTCTCTGCTTATGGCTGTGTCTTGAAGGGGAGGGAAGGGGTGGTGGCTCTGTTTACCGACAAAGAAACTGAAACCCAGAGACTGGCCCTCGTTCCTTCAGGCCCCATGCTTTTCTAGGCCCGGATGGGAAGCCAGGAAGGTGTCCTGTGAGCAGCTGTAAACGAGTGCTCTGAGTTCTGGGGTCAAGAGGGCTGGACGGGCAGGTGTTTGTGGCCTGTCCTAGGAGATGGGGGGTGAGCTTGCAGATGCACAGGGGGCAGGGTCTCTAGAGAGGAGGTTGGAGGGATAAGCAGTCACCTGAGGGCCCCCCCAGGGCACTAAGCTGGGATGTGGCACAGTCAGGTGAGGGGGCTGGGTGGGAAGGACTGACGCTGGGTTAGCGGACAGAGGAGCCTGCAGACAGAAGGGTCACACTCAGTGAGGGCCCACTGATCGGTGGGGATGGGTGAGGGGGAACCCAGGTCTCTGCCAGGGCTGCCCCTAGAGCTGGCGAGGAATAGGATGGGGAAGGCAATGCGCTCAGCTCAAGCTGCCATTTGTAGCACCCAACGGACAGGGCTGGGGTACCTGGATGTGGTGGTCAGCAGGGGAGGGGTGTGGGTCTAGACAACATTAGGAGAGTCCCCTCAGGAGGCATGCAGTCTGCCTGAAGCCCCCTGACCTGGGTGATGGGAGCCTTGGCAGGACCCCAGGAGCAGCACAGTAAAGCAAGGCTCTAGGGGACGCAGGAGGGAGGCTGGGCTCCCTGGCCTGAGGATTCTGCCCCGGCCACCTCCCCTCATCTGGTGCCCCCCTGTGCTCTCCCAGGCCACAGCCGAGACGGTGTATGACATCCTGTCCCCGACAGTGCCCATCTCGCGCTCCCTGCAGGACAAGCAATCTGTGCGAAGGCTACGAAAGGGCCAGCAGCCAGCTGACCTCCGGGAGGGCGTGGCCAAGGCCTATGACACAGTTCGAGAGGTAAAGAGGCCCAGCCCTGTTCCCAGTTGTCCCACATCCACCTCCCCACACAGACCCCTGCACTGACATCTGACCTCCACAGGGCATCCTGGATACAGCTCAGACTATTTGTGAGGTGGCGTCTCGAGGCCACGAGCAGAAGGGGCTGACAGGCGCTGTAGGAGGTGTGATCCGCCAGCTACCCCCAACAGTGGTGAAGCCCCTCATCCTAGCCACAGAGGCCACATCCAACCTGCTTGGGGGCATGCGCAACCAGATCCTCCCTGATGCCCACAAGGACCATGCTCTAAAGTGGCGTTTGGACGAGGCCCGGGACTGAGCACCGGGTACCCGGGACCCAAGGGCGCTGCCTGCCTAACATACCCAGCCAGCCTAGTGGCACCTCAGCTCCCGTGCCTCCCAAGAGCTGTGGCCCACAGCCGGATGGGCCAAGCCTTCAGGGGTTGGACCAGGAAGGACCCTGACTGGCCCACCCACTGCCAATCGCTGTGAGAGAGGAGCCTCCCTGCCTCGGGCCTCAGCCCTGTCTCTGCACTTTTCCTCTGGGGAGAAAGGACACTGCCTCCACCACCACCTGGGCCCACACTGCTGCCTTGTTCCAGGATGGAGGCTTTCGGACCCTCAGACCCTGACCCCACTCAGCCAAGAGTCTTTCTGTGTCTTGGTGGTGGTGGGACAGACACCGTGTGGTTCAGTGTATTTTTAAGCAACTTGAGTGTGTGGGTCAGTGTCTGCATGAAGTGGAATAAACTGTGCCCACCACCAGCCCCCTCATCCTGTGTACTTCCACTGCCCCAGCCTCCACCTTGACCTTGACTTGCCCTTATCCCCACCTCTGTGCACCCTCTTCCCCACCCCCCACGCCAGTTTCTTGTCTATCCCTGAAAGAGCCTAGGGTCCAACCCTACCTGGGGCCAGGTGTGAGGGGACAGGTGGGAGGCTGCTGGCAAAGGGTAAGGCTGTGGAGTGCCCCAGGGAGACTTGAACCCTGACCTTGTGACCTAAGGCCACGCCCTTGGCTCTGAGCCTCAGGTCCTTCCTGGTAATGCGTTCCTGGCTGACCCAGGGACCAGGAGGGACACTGTTCCTGGAGGCTGGGCCCACTGGAGGCTGCTCCTGCCATCCCTAGCAGAAGCTGTTGAGGTGACTAGAACATTTGCCCTGGGTTCCCAGTTCCAGAGCACTGGAAGTGGCGGGTGGGGGTGGCACTGGAGGCAGCACTGTGGCTGGAAGGGGTCCTGACAGTGACATTTGCACAGAAACTTACATGGGATCAGGAAAATGCTAACATCCAACGCCCCTTACCTTGTTTCTTGTGAACAAGGAAGAAGGGGCTGCTCTGATCATGCCCCTCCCTACCCTGCTCCCCAGTAGCACTGGACTGAGGTGGGAGGACCCGTGGGGAAACTGAGGCCCAGGTTAAGAGCCCTCACTTTGCAGGGGTCATCTGCAGACCTATTGGGTCAGCAAATCCCCTACAGCTCTCTGGTGGCCCCTCAGTGAGGGAGATCTGGGCACCAGGTGAGTAGGGTGAAAGTTTGGTCCTGTGGATCCCAGGGTCCTCACAGCCCACATTCATGGGGGGCAGTAGGCCGTACAGTGGGGGAGGGATGGGCTTTGATGGCTGGGGTCTGATGCCGCCGGGAGTGGGAGATGGGGGCCCAGCCTGATGCTTCCTGGAACCGCCCCACCCTGCCTGAGCACAGTCCAGGGTTTCATGCCCTTCGAACCGCACTTGTGATCGGTATTGACAGGCGGCAGGATAATCATTAACTGCTGCCAGGGGCTGGGCCAACGGCTCAAAAGGCACTGAGCCCAGGGTGTCCCAACTTCCTCATGCCCCGAGGACCAGCCAAGCACCCAGGTAAGAGCCTTCCCTGGGGGGTCACTCCCCTGCAGCCCCTCTGCCCCGGGATGCTCCTGAGTCCAGCCCTTCTGAGGAAGAAAGGAAGGGGCTTAGGTAATCACAGGGTGACCCAAATAAGTCCCTTCCAGCCCCTGGGCCTCAGTTTCCACCTGTGGGATGAGGAGGTCAAGACTCCTGATTGGATGATAGCATCTCTGCTGCTGCCGCTGCCTCCGCCTCTGCCAAACTAGGTACTTGATCTTACTCAGGTGCCTTTGGAAGGGACTGCTGGGCTTCTGGGGTGGGGGTTGGGGTCACCAGCTGAGGTGTCTTCATTCACAGGCCCCTCCTCCCAGGCAGAGGACTCCTACCCCATCTCACCTTGACTGCATCCCAAAAGGGAGGATATCACTTCAGGGAGGTTGCCAGGCAGGATGGATCCCAAGGCCCTGCTCTGTGATCTTGGACAGGCTTCTTTGCCTCTCAGGGCCAGTTTCCACTGCTGGGATAGGGAAACATGGCCCAGTCCATTCCAAAAGCTCAGAGTCCCGGCTCCTCTTCCTCTCCAGAAGCTTTGGGGTCTCCAGAATATCCCCTAAGCCTCAGCAGGACTGGCAGTGTGACTTATCACTGAAGTCTGTTGGGCCAGAGCCTGGAGGGGATGAGAACACACTTTGCAGGAGAAACATCTGTTCCCCCAGGGCCCCTAAGCCATCTCAGGGACCCCAGCCAGCAGCTCCTTCCTCTCCCCAGTGGGGGGACAGACCCAAAAGTTGAAGGGAGGGTGGCTTCCCACCAGTGCAGGCCAGTGTACAGGATAGCCTCACAAGTCCTTATTTGCATATAAGGAACCAGCAGTGGCTCAGTTAACCCACTTGCTCAAGGTCACCCAGCTCCCAGGACTCTGGCTCTCAGGCCACCAAGGTGCTAAGTGCTCTTCCAGATGGGCAGCTGCTTATAGCCCTGCAAGAGCATTCTGCAGCAGATTTGTGTATCAGCATCTTTTCCAGTTCCCTGTTCTTCCCCTTTTCTTCCCCTCCTCACCCTCCTCTGTCCCTTTCCAGTTCTTGGCCTGCCCACTCTTCTCTTGGCCTCTCTGCCCCACTCTTCCACTTTCTCTGTCTCCCCTTCTCCCACCACCCTTTTCTCTTTCCATCTCATCTCCAGCTTTGTATGTGGGGAGTCTGGGCATTCAGAGGTCCCCTGAGACAGATGCCCAGCTGTCCCTCATTGTCCCTCTGCCCTGGGACTGCAGCAGGAAGGGTGGGCAAAGGACAGACAGCGGAGGCTGCAGCAGCCAAACCTGAACATGGGACCCAGCTCTGGTTGGGAAAGAAACGAGGAAACAAGAAACTTGGGGAGAGAGGGTGTGGGGTGATAGAGCGGGCAAAGGCTGCCCAGGAGCTGTAAATTGGAGCCACTCCTGGCTTTATGAGCAGATCTGGGGTTGAGACTGGACTTCGCCCAGAGAAGGAGTGCTGGCATCAGACTCCAGGTGTGGGCCCTGGATGATAAGGAGCCTCAATAAAAAGACAATGGACCTGGGGCCATGAGGACCCAGGGGCCCAGGTGGGTGGACGTGCTGTACTCCCCAGACTTCTGCCCAAGGGGAGATGCCAGGCGGGCAGGGCCCAGGCCTCCAGTGGGCTCCCACCCCCTGTAACAGCAACTCCATGTGGAAGTGCCCACTAGTTCCAGTGGGGCTGCTGTTATCTGGGGTGGGGGCCAGTGCCCACGGAGGAGGAGAGGCAGCTGATGCCCAGCAGGCCAGCCGGGACCTCCACGGCCATTCTCCCAGGCCCAGGATGACGAAGGGTGGTGGGCTGTCGGCAGGCTGCCAAGACCGAGTGCACAGGGCTCTGACCTATGAATTGACAGCCAGTGCTCTTGTCTCCCCTCTGGCTGCCAATTCCATAGGTCACAGGTATGTTCGCCTCAATGCCAGCCTCCAGGACCTGCAGGGGGAGGGGCAGGGCTGGGGGTATCCAGTGGGCAATGAAGACTTGCTGCCACGGTGCATCACTCAAGGAGCAGCTCCCTCCTGTCTCATTCCCACCTTTCCATTTCCCTCTTGTGAGTATGAACTGCTATAGGTCCCCACCTATACCCACTCCCCTGTGGCATGCCTCTGTGCTTTGTCCATGCTGTTCCCTCTGCCTGGAACACCCTTCCCAGCTATTTTTTTTTTTTTTTGGCCAGGCTAACTCTTACTAACCAAGTTCTGTCCAAGTATTTGCTGCTTCCAGGAGGCCTTCTTAAAGCCTGCTTGATCGTAAGTGCCCAGCCAGGCACGCCTAGCACCCTGGGCTTCCCCCAAATACTGCATTCTCCCAGTATTTCTGTTCTCCCCACCGGCTATGAGCTCAGCCCCCAGCCCAAGCTGAGCCCAAGTGTGTGTTCAATAAATGTTTGAACAGATCCTGAGCCTCCATCTTATACCCTGAGGAAGAACCACCAACACTGGGTGTGGCCAAGGGGAGCCAAGGCCACAGTTGGAGTCTGTGCTGGAGCCCCCCAGGACAGGGAAACTGAGCCTCCCCCTCCGCTTGCCCCTTTCTCCTCTTGCCTGTCTTATCTCCCTGAAGCACATTCCCAACCCCAGGCTGCCCAGGCCCAGCTGTGGTGGGAGCGGAGGAGGCAGCCAAGTGGACAGGACTGCAGCCCCCACCCCTGCACCACCTTCCCACAATAGCCTCACGCCTGCCAGTTTTTTATCAAATGGGGTTGTGGGAACATTTTCATTTGAATAAAATGGTTTCTGCTGCTAAAAAATTAGAATTTAAACACTGGAAACATAGACCTAGGAATAAAGTCCAAATTGCTTAATAACAGGAACTGGTTCTTGAGCCCTTTCTGCAGGCTGGGTGCTTGTATCCATCAATCACCTGGAATCATCTCGGCAACCTTGTGAGGTAACTGTCAGAAACCTATTTGGGAGATGAGGACACAGGCTCAGAAAGGATGAGCATCTTGCTAAAGTCACAGAGCAAGTGGGACCTTCTCCCTCTGAGGACTCCATGTGGCTGACAGGCATTTGGCCACCTGTTCTAGTCGCTATGACTGCCTCACCCTTTCCCATGTGCAGCTTTGCTCTCACTGCCTTGTCAGCTCCAGATCCCTGGGCCCCCATCCCCACTGCTGACGCCCAGCTGAGATGTCCCTCCCACAACTCTGAAGGATCTACTCCCCTTCCTCGGCCTCCTTATCTCCTTATCTTGTGCAGGGTTGAGAGCTCCCTGAGCTTATCTTAATCCTTGTGCTGGTCCCAGACTTCTTGAGGGTAAAGTCCAGGACTCACTCAGCCTTCCTGGTTGGGCAGCTCCAACCTAGTAGGTATTCACCATACACTGGCCAGATGGAGGGGACTTGAACTCTGACCCTCTTGGGGCTGTCAGGCCCCAGGCCTAGAGTGCTGGCTTGCTCTGGGTTTCCTGCTCCATCTGCCTCTACAGTCTCTGACAGCTCTCAGAGACCATGTCCCAGCTTGTACAAGGTAGACCCAACTCCCTCTGACTGGTTTCTTGATCACTGTTGATCTGGGGTCTTTTCCCGACAGGCCCTGGGCCTGTGCACATCTTTCCTAGCTTGGATCCTGCTCCCACCCGTCTCCAGACCTCCAGGACACCTGCCTGCTCATTACCAGAGCCCGCTTCCTGCTCTCCCCAGCTCGCTGGCTCCCACGATTCTCTGTGGCCTCTCCTAGAGCTTTCATTACACCATGTCACCGGCACTTGGCTATTCCCACTAGCCTGTGAATCCCTGGGGACAGTGGCCACTGACTTTTTGTTTCCACTAGCCTCAGAGAATGGCTCAGAGTACGTGCTTAATAAATGCTTAAGGACTGACCACGTGGTGTAAATGAAGCTGCTTGGGGGAGGGGGGCAGCAGATGCCTGGAGTGGTCAGCACAGTGCTCACAGGTTAGAGGTCCTCGGTAAATGCCAGCCAACGTCTTCATCACCACGCCACACATTTGTGAAACACTGTGATGCCGCCTGGCCGTCGTCGGGGTGTACATTCAAATTAACCGTTTCAACCTCAAAGAAAGGACGATGGGGGAAGGAGTGGTCGGAGTTGGGGAGATTTGATCGGAAAAGGCACCTTGAGAAAGGTGAGTTTGAGTTCAGCTTTTGCTGAGGTGACGCCCGGGAAGAGGTCGGGAGCACTGCGAGGGGAAGGAGTGTCAGGGACAATTGTGCAGAAAGGAGTAGGCACTGGTGGGCCGGAGAGCCCACTCTTCTGAAATCCTTACTCCCTGCGGCCACCAGCAGGGGGCGCCCCGGATCGCATCCCGCCAGAGCTGGGTGAGGTCGATCCTTTCCCCGCCACCTTCCCCCACCCCCGACTCCTCCCCAGCTCTGATCCCGCAGCCATCCCTCCCTCCCTGCCCCGCGCCCCGACCCCGCCCCGACCGCTCCAGACCTGCCGGGTACCCACAGCGCCCTACACGCAACTGCGGATCCCAGGTACTCCGCGCGAGCGTAGGGTTCCTGGTGGGACCTTTACAGCTGTTACGTGTGTATAAAACATAAATGTATAGTGTATATTTGAATAACTATAAAATGAGTCTGGGTAACTACCACTCAAGTTAAGAAAAAGAAAATCTCTGCGCTGCAGAGCGCCCCAGTGTGTCCTCGCAGGTGACCCCTCCCCAAGGAAGCACAATGCTGACCTTTACTGTAACCACTTCCTCCCCTTTCTCTGCGGTTTACCACCTAGGCACGCAGCCCAAAACAGAATATGCTCACTTGCCTGAGGTTGCTGTAGTTTATTATAAAAGCGGAGTCCTGCAGTTGTGTCGGGCTGTCTCCAGGTGGTTTCTGGAGCTGTAGTTTGCTCACGTTCATTCACTGCCCTTGTAGGAACAGAATCCAGTTGACTTGTCCATTTGACTGTAAATGGACTTAGGCCCTGCTAGGTCATGAGGTAGCAAATGTAATCAGGCCACACAGTGCCTGAAGCGGGGGTGTCCTATTACAGGCCTTTTTGTTTTCAACAATTAGGAAATCTTCAGAAAAGCTGCAAGAAAATTACAATGAATATCCACATACCTTTCACTCAGATTCATCAGTAGTTGACATTTTGCCACCTTTGCTTTCCCTCTCTTCCTCCCTCTCCCTCTCTCTTACACACGTACGCACATGCATTTTTTCTGAACGACTTGACAGTAAGTTACAAAGGTCATGCTCCTTCACTCTTAAGTATTTCAATATATATGTCCTAAGAAAAATGACATTTCTTACACAACTGCAGTACGATTACCAAACTTAAGCCTAGCAACATTGATGCAATGCTGTGATCTGATATGCCGTCCACTTTCTAGGGTCTCTGATTGTCCCAATGAATTGGGATCGTGCCTCACATTTGGTTGTCAGGGATCTTCAGTCTTTCATCTGGAACCATCCTCAGCCTTACTTTGGTTTTTAAGACCTTAAAATTTTTGAAGAGTACTGGCCAGTTGTTTTGTAGAATGTCCTTCAGCATTTTTTTCTTCTTCTCCCCTAATTCAGAAAATTAAATTCAGTCTATCATATAAAATTTGGACAATATAGAGAAGTAAACCAAAATTGCCCCAGTTCCTTTGTCGCAAGAATACCCCTGTAGACATTTCCTGTAACCGATCGAGTTAGCTGACTTTGCTGTCCTGGGCATCTATACATTAACATTTAATCCTAGGAGGTAGCTTTTTTTAGCCCCATTTTACAGCTGGTCCCAGAGCCCCTGAGTCTTGCTAAAAATCACAGAGTCAGAAGGACTAGAACTTAACAGTGCACTTGGCCCTTATGCTACACTCTCTCTCAATAGTGGCTGGTAGTGTGTGTGTGTGTGTGTGTGTGTGTGTGTGTGCGTGCGTGCGCGCGCGCGCGCGCGCTAGAGGGTGTCTCAATCTCCACCCTATTGACATTTGGGGCCAGGGCTGGTTATTTCCTGGCTGTGGGGGGCTGTCCTGTGCATTGTAGGATCTTAGCAGCGTCTCTAGGTTCTACCCACTAGATGCCAGCAGCATCCCTCAAGTGGTAACAACCAAGAATGTCTCCAGACATTGTCAAAAGTCCCCTGGGGGGCAGAGTCACCTCCAGTTGAGAACTCTGAGTGTGTGTGTGTGTGTGTGTGTGTGTGTGTGTGTGTGTGACGCAGATATAAGTGCATATAAGTTAATTAAGTAACTTCTCGTTCCCTTTACCCGTAAGTTAACAACGTAACCAACCAACTAACT